GACAATCGTGAAAAATAAAGACATTATTAAATCTGCTAATGTTGCGAAAGGGGTTAAATCAATTTCTAAACAGAGATCAAAGACATTAGATCATGTTGAGAAATTGTTTTTGCTTTGGATAACTGAAAAACAGTGTGCTGGAGACACTGTATCAGAAGCAATTATTTGCGAGACAGCTAAAAAGATACATGCTGATCTCATGAAAAATCAAGCAGGAACTAGCCAGGAAAGCGAGGTGTTTAAAGCCAGCCATTTTTTTTACATGAGAACGGATTAATCATTTTTACATTACTTCTTATGGGAAAGGTTGGTTTGGTATAAGTCCAAACATCAGAAATGGATTAAGGTCATATACCGAGGTTCCACTGTATTATTAAAGTTTATTTAAAATGAATACTAGAACAGCTATCGCATTACATTTCTTTACAATAAAAAATTAAACTGAAATTAATATTAACAAATAGTTCAAATACATATGATGCTTTCTTACTTTTTCTTTTTCACACATTCTGCTTGATAGCAACTTAACAAGTAATGAAAATAATCCATTGCAATTATGATTTACAGCACCCACTTCAGCTCTTGGCCAAAAAATATTAACAATCAATGGAGAAGTACAATGCATTCTTATATCTTTGGGAGGACAAGATGAACTAAATAATAAATACAAATATTTATTTACATTTAACCCCTCTACAACCTCTCAAATTTTTTACATCCTGTATATAAAGATACAGAATACAGATCTTACAGGCAACCTTAAAGTCATCCTATCTCNTGCTTGATAGCAACTTAACAAGTAATGAAAATAATCCATTGCAATTATGATTTACAGCACCCACTTCAGCTCTTGGCCAAAAAATATTAACAATCAATGGAGAAGTACAATGCATTCTTATATCTTTGGGAGGACAAGATGAACTAAATAATAAATACAAATATTTATTTACAGAATTATATATAATAACAAATGAATTTTTAATATATTATTAGAGATTTAATATTACTAAATTTTATTCAGAAATTAAATTCTGAAATTTTATTTTAATTTTATTAAGTAATTAAAACAATATAGTAAATGCACTTTTAGAAAAAGACGCTTGTTACTTAGATTAAAAGTATGTTTATCTTCAAAAAAATTATGTCAAAGCATATTTAAATAGATACAGAAATAGTTTCAAAATAAACTATTTTCAAAAATTATGTATTATTTTAAATTTTATTTCAAAAAGAATTCTAAAGTTAAAATTACACAAGAAAACACTTTATTTGTATATTATTTACACTAAATGGTAAATTTGATTTTTTGTTCATCTGTATACACACAAACCTCAGAAATTACTTTATTTAATAATAAATGATATTTAAAAATTGAATGTATTTATAAATATGGAAAAAACCTAATAAGAATTTGAGCTTATTTACAAGCCTGTTTTAAGCAATAATATATTTAAACCCTGAAAATAAACATGAAAAATCTATTTTAGGCTATGTATCTGGTGATTAATTTATGGTTTTAATAACATTGTTAGTTTTAAACATTTAATTGTATTAAATTTTCAACAACAGTGAAATTTTTAAATTACTTTAGCAGTATTAGGATTTGAACACAAATGTTTTAAGATTATAATTTAAATACACTATCTAAAATATTAATTATAAGAAATAATTTTATTACCTTTTTAAAAAATTCTGCATATCTTCTTCTAAAACACTCAAAATAAAATTAAACAACAACTGATTATTTTTCACAGATTGAGGAATCACTGCGAAATCATTTGTTGTTGTTAAAATGCTCCCACTATTTATAATAATAAAAGTTTGTCACAAAAATATATAAATTATAAATTCATTTTTAAAGAATGTAAGAATAAGAATTATAATAAATCATTATTATTGAAATATGGAGATATGATATATATTTATTTTGTAATGATATATATATAATTACAATTCTCTTATTTTATATATATATATATAATAAGAGAATTGTAATGAGGCATCTTACATAAATTACAGATACAAAGTTAAATACTGTTTTTCAAAAGTTATTAAAAAAAACTTATACAGTCAAACCTTGGTTTTGAACACCTTGCTTTTTGAACAAAATTTTGAATGTCATATTTGCCCTGGTTGCTGAACAAGCTACTTAGCAAAAGTCTGCTACAGATTAAAGTGACACAGACTGTCAACTCCACATAGTTCCTGCATTAAAGAAAGTCGATGGCCCAACCAATCAATAATGGGACTACCAATTCATAAGTTAGTAGCATCAAGATTGCCTTGAATCATTAGATGTCACAACACACACCATCAATTATTCAAATTAGATTTCAATGCAAATACGGGTAAGATACTACTATTATTTTTCAGTTCACATTGTAATTGAATTTAAATCAAATTAATTAATGTCAAAACTGCATTAATTGACATTTGTGTAATATGAATAATATCCATGAATCTGTGTTTAAAGGTGCTTAACTCAAATTAAATAACAAAAATTTATTAACATTATTATATATTATAATAATAATATTTAATTTAATATTTATTAATACCAGGTAGCCAGTTAATTAAACCTAAAAATAATAAAATAATAATAACTTAGGTTTTTACACTAAAATTAGAATTAAAATCAAAATTAGTTAATTAATTTAAAATTTGAATCAAAGCTATTGAAATATAATATTTCAGAAAGTGTAGATGAAGTACTTTGTTGTTGGTCTTGATTGATTTGGTTATATTTTATAAACAATGTTGAGTCTATTTATAGCACTTTTTTTAAAGTGGTGGTTTTGGTTTCTGTTGGCAGTGATGGAACATTTTGCTTTTAATATGTATATAAAATGGATGTAGAGATATATAATATTATATTGTATTTGTACACACTTTTATGCATGAAATACAGCTAAAAAGATAAAAAAGACTATTTTGAGAGTCAGGAACAGATTAATCCATTTTATATTGTTTATGGGAAAATTTGTTTTGGTTTGAGAACAAATCAGTCTTCCAACAACTTTTAGCAACAAATTAAGTTCAAAACCTAAAGTTTGATTATATTGGTTTATAATATTAACATGTCTTTTACAAATCATTAAATGCACTTCTTTATTAAATATTTTAAATAGCATTAAAAATTAAAGTTTTTAATGCTATTTTAGTACCATCTTTCATTTAGCTATTTAAATCCATTTCTAAATTACAGAAGATAAACTAGAAAAATCTCTCAAAATATCTATTAGTGGAATGCACAATAAACCAATAGTTAAGAAAAGATATAATGAATTGAGAAATAATTAATATATTAATCTTTTTGCTATTATTATAACCTTTTATTATTTGAATTCCAGCAATAATAAATTAATATTCAATTATTTATTTATATTTATAAATTTAGTATCTTAAAAAGTGAATTTTACAATGATGAATTTAACATTTTACATATAAATTTTATAAATAAAAGTATTTGAGTATATACTGTAGCAAAATTATATTCAGCTAAGCTTGAAAATGACATATTATCCGTAAATTACTTAAATACTGATTACTGCATATATGCACCATTGTCACACAAAGGTTTTAAGCCAGTTTATGTATATGCAAATGGCACAGAATTAATAATTCTGCTATTATAATTTTAGTAATATGAAATAATTTTTATTTTGCATTTAAAATTAATAAACTCACTCAATGACTTCTTCCAAAGAATTCCAAGCTGAATTTTCATTCTCATAAAATAATGCTTTCATGTAATATTGTCTACTGTTTTTATTAATTGGAGGATGAAGACATAAAACTTCACAAAGAAATGAATAAGCTTTATTTGCAAGGTGTGGATCTTCAGCTTTCTATATTAAATAAAAATAATATATTTTAATATTAATATTATGAGCAGTTATTTTAAAAAGTTAAAAAAGTGTTAATTTTTAAAAGTAGATTATTACAAAATTTCTTTTTATATTAATAGTTACATATAAATGTAAATAAATAATAACAACAATCAGTATCAGCTGAGCATGAATGTCATATTAAAGTATATATTATAATATATATATATAATANTTAACTAATATGATTATTAAAAGAATAATAAATATAACCATACAAAGATAAAACAAAATCATGAATATGAAAAATAGTACATATTGTTTGTATTGTTTTCCATAAAATGTATTTATCATCATTGAGAAGTTAGTGTGGAAGGCATCCTAAATGATCTACATCTTTTGATTCTGATGAAACTGAATAAATAGTCAATAAGTTGCCAAGTGTTGATATATGTCACCTTAGTGTGTCTGCAAAGAAACAGATCTACATCTTTTTAAGTTCTGAAATCACTAAATAATTCAGTAACAGTTTTGGCCAAGACCAAGTATAGTGTATATGACAGGGATGGGCAAGCAAGAGTTCAGTGGGAGTCGAAATGTAGGTTTTGCAAATTGCATGGGAGCCGCAGTTCTGTACCATGATTTTATTACATAATATAAATATAATATAAAACAAATATTGAATTTTTTTAATAAACATATTTTCACAAAACTGTGGAAATAAAATTGTAAAAATAATAATAAAAAGCAGAAATTAACACTTTCAGCAAGAGCTGCATGTAACTCAATAAGAGCAGCATTTTCCCATGACTGGTATATGATGATGTAAGATCATGTGACTGTCCTATGATCTCACTTCATCATATATCAAAACAAAGCATTTAGTTTTTAATGTATTTGAAAAGGGCTCTTAACTGCATGGAGCAAATAGAAGGGAGTTACACATGTGGATGCATAAACTCAGGATGAAAGACTCATTTTTATGTTGTAAAAGCTATTTATTAACAATTTTTTTTCCTCATAAAAGTCCATGAGTCAACTAGTGTCCCTAAAAACAATCAAAACTTCACTTGATTAGAGATGTTACAGTATCTGGGATCCATGATTTGAAAATAACTGTCAAGCCTAGTCAAAGAGAAGTACACACAAAGTCCTACAGAGGGTGAAGGAAATTAGTAGTGAAGAAAATACAACAGCGGAATAGGAATAAATCAAAAGTTCATGGCATTGAAGGAAATTAGCAGCAATGACAATTAGATAAAAAGATGATAGCAAGCATGGAAGCTCTTTTGTAACTGGACAAAAGGAGCACCCCCATGTTTTTCAGACCCCAATCTCACATTCAGATTGTTCTCAAATTGTCCTCCTGAAGACCCAATTGGTCTCTCACCTGTTTCTAGAGGAAATAAGAGACCTCCTCAGGTCATGAGAAGTCCAACATTGGCATTTAAATGCTGAATTCAATCCCAATTGAAATGATCGTTGATCTTAAGATCATCTTTGTCTTAAGTTAAATGGTGTGTATACTTTTTTCAGACAATTATTCAATTGTACAGTTTGAAGTTGCTCATAAATTCAAACTTGAGAAATAAAGTTTAATAAAAATCTATTTTTCTTTCTACAAAGTTATTATGGGAGGAGTGTAAAGGTAAAAATTCATTGTGAGGTCCTGGACAACAGAACCTCAAAACTAATTATTAATATCTTTCTCTTATTCATAACAGATAATTTAAGTTCATCAAATAATATTCTAGATTTCTTTTTTAAATTTTCCAAAAAATGTATAAATAATTCAAAGCTTAATTTTCAACAGAGTAGTTAAACTACTCAATTGTAAATAAAACTAGACTTACTTAAAAATACAAACAGATTATATATATATAGATACATACACATGTAGACTGAAAGTCACTTGGTGCTAAATCAGGGCTATATGCTAGATCAGTGTTTTTCAACCTTCTTGAATACGCGACCCCTTTACAAGTTAAAAAATTCTGGCGACCCCCCTGGGCCACATTTAAACTATATCAGTGATTTTAAAAACTACGTATTTAATTTTCTTTCTTTAAATATCAATTGAAAAACCAATTGTACTGTAAAATAAACAGGCACAGCCTTCTCACTGAAATTCTAGTTTTTTTTATTGTAGTGTAGGACCTATAAACACTTGTCTTTTCTTACACCCGCGACCCCCGTGTAAGGCTTTGCGACCCCCCTGGGGTCGCGACCCACAGGTTGAAAAACACTGTGCTAGATGTTTAAAGGTGGTGAAGACTTCCACCCAGCTTAAAACTTTTTAATGTGTGCAGACTTCCACCTCTTTCCTGAACTGAAAACATAGCTAGCAGGGCAGAGATTTGACTAATGACTAGAGCTGAAAATTTTCGCTTTTGGCGAATTTCTCAGCTATATTCGCCTGGAATGAGCATCTTTCAATTAGTACTAATTTAAAAATCCGGTCTCAATATCACTAAGATTTTTTGGCGAAAATCAGCGATTTTCACCCAAACTGGTGAATTTGGTGATAGGTGGCGAAATCGTTAGTTTCCCATGTGCTCTGTGCAAAAATGTCTAGAGAACAGTCAATTGAGTTTAAAATTGATTCCGTGATTAAGGAATTAGGCGGCAATATATTTCGCCATACCAAAAAACAATTCTCTGTGTTAAGTGCTCTACACATGTCAACTACGAACGTGATACAATTAAGAAACGACTTTTGGAACATCTGAACAGTGCAAAACACAAGAAACATAACACGCTACAGTCACAAACATTGTTGTTTGAAAATGGAAGCGATTTTGATAAAGAAATGGTTAAAGCATTCACCAGTGCAGATATTCCGCTTGAAAAATTAAACAACAAAAACTGAGATTGTTTCTTGAGAAATATATGAAGAAGCCAATCAAAAGTGTTCCAGGTATTTTTTTATTGTAATTAGTTTTTTAATGAAACATTTATTTTATTGAAATTGATGCTGCTGTTTGCAATTGTGCTCATAATTTAGCTGAAATATGATTTTATTCGAAGTCTCATTGAGTTTTTTATTTTTTAGCACTGCAGGCACATAAAAAAACTATCTTCAATTCAATAACAGAAAAAATTAAGGGCAAAATTAATGGACATGATGTCTATTTCATTGTTGACGAAACTAGTGCAACGTAAAGTGGTCAACGTGCTTGTAAAAAAATTGAATGGTGAGAAAGCAAAATCAATGTTAATTGATGTGACATTTCACTCAACAGTTGACAACATTATAATACAAGAATGTATACTCAATGTGTCTAGAAAATTGTGGCCAAATGATTTAAAATATTCAAAACTGAAGTTAATAGTAACAGATCAAGCAAAATACATGATGAAGGCAGTAAGTGAGATTAAGAAAAATTCATTGATTTTTCCAAATGTACATCACGTCACGTGTCTCGCTCATGCCTTACATAACATTGCATTTAGGATTCAGAATGAGTACAAATTAACAAATTCGCTTATATTAGAAATGAACAAGTTTTTTGTGAAGTCAAGAGAAAGACAAAATGATTTTAAGAATGCAATTGGAGTTAGTAATCTTCCTCCAGAACCAATTACGGCTCACTGGGTGTCTTGATATAAACTTAAATTTATATCAAAAGATGTAAATTTGATAAGATCAGGATTAGTTGACAAAACTTTTTCCAATTTTTGAGAAAATATAGGATAACCAGAAACAATTTCTTTTGCATTTTCAAAACATTTGGATTTACATAACTCTGTAATATAGATAAAGCTAATGTAAAAATCTTATATAAAGAAAAGAATACATATAGTAGGAAATTTAAAGAAAGTGTGGCTATTATAAACTCCAAAAATTGTATAAATAGGAATCTAAGTGTAAAAGTAAGCAAAGATTGGTTAAAAATATTGTAAAAATAAAAAATTTTTTTAAGAATTTTTTTAAAGATATTTTAGTGAATTCCGTTTATTTGGCTGTTTTTGGCTATTCCAAATGTTATGTAAATTCCGACTGTCGTAAATGGTTAAAAATGCAAATTAGAAACCAGGCTCAATATTGTATAATGAACAAATTTTGTTATAGTAAGTTAAGTTTATCTGATTCTGTAATGTGCAAAAGAAAAATTGAAAGAAACCAGCCTAATATATCCATCAATCTTGGAAAGGAATTAGCCAATATATTCATCAACTTTAGTAAGAAGATGGAAGATGTATTGCGCTACTTAGCAATGTATGTAGGTTTTATACAGTTGATGTAGTCAACTTATCCTCCCAGTAAGGAGAATGTGAACTTGTGCTGTATAAGTGTCATTGCATAAATTGTGTGTTTAATGTTGACTGATGAGGGGCTAAGCGCCCGAAACGTGTAAAAGTACCCGTATCAACTGAATAAAGAGGAATAACGCCAAGTGTTTCATTAATAACACAGTCTTGTGTTCAATAGTCAATAAATACAAAAACACGGTTTCAGAAAACAAATAAACTTAAGTGATAAAGTTAATAGCGAATACGCTCCTTTAGTTGCAGTCGATGTTGAATGTTCGTTCTCATTGTATTCATCGATATTGAGTGATCGACATCATAGTTTAAGCGAGGATCATTTGAAATATCTAAGTGTAATTTGTTTTAACTCGTTTTTGAAATAAATAACTGGCAATTTTTTGGGTGAATTTAAGGCAAAAAATTGGCGATTTTAGGCCCAAAATCTAGCGAAAACTTTCAGCTCTACTAACGACAATCTTCAAAACAATGTTGTTAAGGCCATCTCAATTCACTGGCAGCAACATTCTATGACAAGGGTATGGAAAAGCTCGTCCACAGATATGACAAATTCCCCAATCTTCACAGTGATTATGTCAAAAAGTAACCATTTTTGTACTTAACTACTTTTGATGATAAATTCTTTTTGTTATTTACACTTGTCTTTGTTTTATGGACCATCAGAACTTAAAAAAAACACAGCTTTCGAATATATTATATATTAATAATGTAAAAACCATCGTGCATGCAAATTTCTTATAATTCTTGCAATTTTTGTCCAATCCAGATGAAATTTTGGTTGTATTCATTTTATGTTCTGATGGAAAGTATAGACTACTTATTTTGCAGAAATATTAGCTATAGAATAAACACTTTATTGCTTTTAGATCAGTGATTGCATTTACATTGCAGTGACGTCAGTGACCTCGTTTAGTTCATGCTTGATGACAGAATTTCCTTTAAATTAATTTAAGTTGCATTTTTAAATATTTTGGCAAATGGCATATTTTAAATTTACTTCATTAAATTTAAACTTTAAAAAAAAGATAGCAGCATTGTATTACTTCTATAACAAATTTTTAGAATAATCTTTCCATAGTGACTATGTGACATTCTATTATCCAATCAGAAGTAATGATCTAATGAGCCTGTTATTTAAAAAGTGTTACTGCTCATCTAACTAACATATGTACAATTTATCTTTTTTTTTTTTTATTAATGTGGAATTAAAAAGACTTGCTATTTTGTTGAAAAAAAAATGCTTAGGGGAAAGCATAAGAGTAAAATTGGTCAACTCTATGTTGCTTTATCCTGTTCAAGAAACCAAAACTATATTAAGGTGTCTATTACTAAAGGAAGACAACAAGGAAACCTTTTAAAAACCAATACAGTGTTTTAACATTACTTTAATATAAAGGCCATCATCTGTTTATGCGTAAGTCTCTTTAACTCCTATTACTTTTGTCCATTCCAAGTAAAATTGTTTTGTTGTTTTTTTATATTACAACAGATAGTATAAACTACTTAATTTATAGAAATATTAGCAACTCTTCTTGAATAATCTTAAAATCTCTACTCTTCTCGATTCTTCAATCTCTACTTTCTTATAAAAAGTATTATGTCATATTTGACGGGAAAATTTCTAGCTAGTGTATGCATATATATACAGAATAAATAAATAAATAAATAAATATATATATATATATATATACATACACACTAGTGTATGTTCATCTAGAGTTTCCAGGTACTGTACTTGGGGATAAAATCATGGACAAAATAATTTCTTCCTGAAAGATACTGGAATGCTTCAATTCCATGACATGCAAGATATGTATTTTAACTCTACCAATGATAGAAATACGTTTAAAATGTGGAAAAAGAGAAAGATAATTCATTGTACGTACAATTTTTAGAATATAGTCATCCTGTCACAAGATGGGAGTTAAAAAATCTGGGGCATCTGGCTACTCTAGGTTTATCTCAACTGTTGAATGATGAGCTTTTATTTGATAGAAAAGACAAACAAATCCTATTTTTTTGACAATATACAATGTTTGTTTAGAAAATTTGATCATAAATCAAGTATAAAAAATAATGGTGATAATGTGATATGGTTACTAAGGCTGCATATAAGTATCTATCATAATATAACATGTCTATGAATACTTAATTATTTTGTCTGCATATGTATTGTAACACAATACAACACACTTTAATTGTATTAAACTTCAAATCAACACTTAGTATTTTTGTTAATAAATCATCATAATTAATTCTGTGATTGTATGTAGAGTGTAAACTATATTGAAAGACAATCAGACATCACAGACCAATCATATACTTTCCTACACACTACAAAATGCTCTCATTTGATGCATCTCAAACAATATATACTTGTACTACCGTACATGGATGAAAAAAGCAATATGAAAATAGGGTAGCATAGTGACAATGTTTTATTTTTTTAATTCTTAATATTATGGGCAATTTCCTCATACAATCATGTTCGTTACACTTCAAATATCACAATACCACCATATCTGAAAATAAATATGAAGAAATAAAAATCTTGTTTAACAATATAAAAAAGTTAAAATCTACAGAAACTTGTTTTTGCTAATCAGGAAATGATGTCACAATTTTTAATGTTTTCTTTTATAAGCTCTCAATGTGAGGAATAATAATAGTAATAATAAAGATAATAATGCAATATAATAATAAAATTACTAGGTTACAGATAAAACAACTAAATTAAAATTCCAAAAACTTGAACCTACATCATTTAGGTTAAGTGCTTAGCATCTTATGCACTCAGTTCTTGCCACTCAGATAGGAAACTTCCAATGACTTATAAACTAAACACTAAATTTTCACAGGCCCAGTTTTCGAAAACACTTGAAAAGTGGGTCCTACTATTTGAACAAGGAGCTATTTGTGTTCACAGTTACATGCTTGCCAAGTTTTGTTTGAATCGGAAACCCAAACATCCAGTCCTCTTCTTTCTTGTAAGTAACAGTTTAACATGTTACGTTGTTTTCCAGACACCAAACTGATAAAGCTAACAGCACCTACATTAATTTGTAAGCAAAACTGGTGGCAATGAATAATTTGAAGTGACAAAAAAAATTAAAAACTGGCAAATGGTTGGCAAAATTTTTAATTTTCTAGAGTGACCTCTGAATATGCTGTTTATGAACCACTTCTTCAACATGACCAAATTACATATTAAGACAACTGATATTCTGCTATATAGGTAACCCCGTATAATACGGCACTTCTATAGCACGGATTCACTCTAACACGGTTCAAGAATTGGGTAAAACCCTCATACAATATGAAATGTAATAAAGGGTGTGCTCTTTTATACCTCCGCGTAACTCCTCACAAGCATTCTAATTGTTTTCGTGGCTACTATGAATGCTCTTTCAACAAATAATCCATTTAATGGTTAAATATTACAATTGGGACCCTTATTTTGTGTCTAAAAGCTCATTTTAGAATTATAGATTCCTCCATCATGATACTATCACTAGTGCGGGTGCCACCATCTTTCTTTCACTGTTGTTCCTAAATGCCTACAAACAGCAGCGCATTCCTGCTGCAGAGCGACCGCTATTAACGAACGCACCCAAAAACTGTTACCAGTTGATGATGCTCATGCTGAGATCATCATATAGGATGAATAATCCTCTGGTAAAAATATTTACTTAAATAATAAATAAGTATTTTACCTATGAAAAAATGAATATTAAATCCATTTTAAATAAGGATTTAACAGCATGTTTTTTAATTTTTGGAACCTAACCTCCCTTTTTGCACTAGTTTTTTGTTTTGTATAAGTCAGATTTGCATAACACGACAATTTTTTGGAATGTAACTCCTATGTTATATGGGGGGTTACCTGTATTTAAAAAGTTACAGAAAAGAAAGCATTGTAAATCAAACTGATAACTTAGGTTAAATTTGCAAATTATTTTTAATATAACTTTTACTTTATAAATAATTTTTTAATATACTAATAGAGAATATCTGATGTAAAAAAAAAAATAATAACTACTGTACAGATTGAACTTCTAAATTTGTAAAATGAATATTTCAGTAAGATGTCAAATTTATCAATAAAAATAAATTTAATATAATAAATATTAAATATAACAAATATAAGTAAATGCATTAAATTACCTGTAATATTTCAATTATTATAACATTTAATATTTGATATGATGGATATGTTTCTAAAGAGAGTAGACAATTTGCAAAATATATAGCTTCTGCATATTCTTCCTCTTTTATTGAAGAAGTAAAAATGGATGGAATTTGTAAACTTGATTCTTCTTCATTTTCTTGAAAATACTGTAATTTTCCTTTAGATGCAATTTCCTCACATATTTCCCTTTCACTCTATTAAAAAAAAAGTTAATATTTTGTAAATCATGTTACAGTTATTTACAATTTCAAAATGAAAATAATTAATCTCTTTTAAAATTAAATCATTAACCGAATACTGAATTTCTATATATATCTTGCATTTATGAGTATATAACTCATAAATGGTGTGTATGTATATATATATATATATATACATACATACATACACATATACACATATTGAAATTTAGTATTTTCCTTACCTTGTATGGATAAATTAAAGGCATTGTGCAAGGAGTTCGTTTTAAATAAAACTCCCATAAATTTAATCTTGAGTTTTTCAGAGTTGATGGACTGTTTGTTTCATCTTCAAAATCTGATGATGATGAAAATGAAATGGAATTTAAATCTTCTAATGAAGTTATGATTGATTTACGAAGTTTAATACTTTTAGTTATTTGATCAGAAGGCACTGGGTTTTCAGTTAGTTTATCATCATCAGATAGATTCGTTTCAACAGTTTTTGGTTCTTTTGCTTCATTTATTTTTTCATATTTTAAAAATTTTGTCATTTTTGTCTGTGTTGTTTTTTTCATATTTAAACTTTTAAAATTTATTTTACAAAGTTTTTTCCTGCTAATTGGATAAATTTGGCTAGAATTAGTTTTTATACTTTTTGTAAAGTATTTACTTTTAGCAAATTTATTATTCTTGCAATATCTTTCAAAATTACCACCACTAATATTTTTTAAAGAATGATATTTTTGATGATGACATGAAGTAGATGATTCAAAATTTTTTAACTTTTCAATTAATGGTACTAATTTTTTATCTGTGCAATTTTTAAAATTAGTTTCTTCAAAAGATAATTTCTTATTCCAATATGTATTAAAATAATTTAAAGATGATTCGTAATTTTTTATATGAAAAATCCATGGATCGGGTTTAGGTTCCTAAAATAATAAAAATACAATTTTTTAATACAGAAAATATTATCACCAATTTCATAAATAATAACTGGTTCAAGCACTGATTTAGATTTTATTTAAATTTTTTAATTAAAAACTTGTTTATTTTTATAAAAGTTTCTATTAATCTTTGGAAGTTGTTACAAAAAAAAATATTTATCATGGCTTTATGCAAACCTACCATATCAATTTTATATGAGCAGAATTTCTCTTCAATATTGTACAATTAATTTTCTTTATCAATTTTAACTTTCTGTCAATTTAAAATTTAATGTAATACTACTCTTCCTTAAAAAGGTTCTATATAAAAATATAATACTCCAAACAGCATTCGTATCAAAAATAAAGACTAAGTGACAGAAAATCAAATTTCAAAATAACTATACAATATCTAATATCAATAAGTTCTTTCACATAACTACATATATAAGAAAAAATGCATTATCATTGGAGTTTTATAATTTAATGTCTATCTATTTCATAAAAATAAAATCCAGTTCAAGCTTGAATCACAAACTCAAAAGTACAAATACATATATAATATATACACACATACATTTAATTGCAAATGCTTTAAAGAAACAATTTTTTATATAGCATACAGTACACTGCTGTATTAGACTGCAGATAATAGCAGAATTAGCATGTACTAAAAACATGTTAGTTAAAATACACTGATTAAAGCAAAGTCTTTTAAGAGTTCTGGTTATAGTTATCATTAATTTCAGGTAAATAGACACTCAGGTTGTCTTTTAAAACTCAGTTTCACATTTCTGATGATGATAACTGCAATTACCGTATATCTGCACAGATAAGACGATAGTTGAATCATAAAAAAAGACCCCAAAATCCGGGGTCGTCTTATAGGACAAATACAAAAAAATTAGATTGAAATTTATATAAATTAAAACCATTATAAAAAAAACGACAAACCATAATTATTTACTAGTACAGTAGGGTATGTCCACAAAATAGAATAATCCATACGACGTTTTTGTGAATAGTCAAGTTCATTACCCAAATGCCCAAATCACTGTGAATGTTTGCAACAATCCAAGGCAGTGCTGCCAGATGAAAGATAATAAAATTTGTTCATTTGAATAATTCCATATATGCTATACAGTATTATTATCCAGATGATGATCGCTGATCTAAACTAAATTCATAAGCCATTGATAGTTTGGGGGTTGTCTTATAGGACAGATATATGCTAAAACTATAAAACTTTGATGAAAATTTATACCTTGTCTTATCTGATCATCATCTTATCTGCACAGATATATGGTAGTTCTGGTTAAAACTGATAGCAATTGCATGTTGTTAGTTTTAACAAGAACTTTAAACATAACCACTTTTAAAATGTGAAAATTTTCCATAAAAATCTTTTTACGATACTTTTTAGAATAAACTGATTTCATAAATTATTTCCATAACAGAATACCAAATTTTCGTTTGGTGTCTATTCTTTCTATATAATTTGGAGGCTTTATATTTATCAAATCAACACAATACTTGAATATATATATTTAAATTATCTATTATATATTTAAGTAACAATTCTAAACTAAAAATATTTGAACAAAACAAAAATACATTTTTTAAAATATACTTTGGGCTTGTTCAAATAGAAACAGGCTATCTATTAAGAATATTGTATTCAGTGAGAGTAATGTGTAAAAATTATGAACTGATTAAAGTAAAATATCTGAATTTTAAATAAAATTATTTCTCTTATTTAGAAATTAATTTAAAAAAATCTTTATTCCCTTCACATATGAATTTTGTAAAGTTAAGGAAATAAAAAAGAAATGAATAGAATCCATTAAAATATTTTGAGATTTTTATTCAGTATGAATATGATTCAAAATTCTGATGTTTGTGACAGTGAACTAATTGACAAGTCATACTCTGTCAAACCATATATTAATGGGTTCTGGCTAGTACTTCTAAAGTTAAAATTCAAGATGTAAATAATGTAATAAAAACTAAGAAACTGCATTACTTTAATTGATGCTGTCTTTTGAAAGTTTTGATACTGAAAAATTTTGCCACTTAATTTTGTAAGTATTAAGTCTTTATAAAAAAAAAACCTGTTTAAACTTAACCTTATGTTTATAACATTGTTTTTGTTAGGTTTTAAGAAATTTTGCCTCTTAATACTGATGATATTAAAAAACTACTTAAACCATCAGATATTTTCTGTGAATAAATCTTAGGCTTAATTATGGAAACTAAATAATTTCAATAAAAAACTTTTAAAACTTATTACTAAAAACTATACTTTTTGTCATTTTTAAAGTTGGAAATGGATTTTTCCTTTCTAGAAAAATCCACATAACTAAATTGAGCCAATATATATATGTGAGAGCTATTGCGATTGTAAATAGTATGAACAATAAACGGGTATTATGTCTAGATGAGTTAGAGTGTAATTCCTCTGGTTCTCTTGGTACGCCTCCATCCTGGAACTAAAAGTCCACAAATGCGACCGTTCGCGTAACAGAATAAACGGCCAATAACTTTTTTCTGTGTCCGTTAAGGGACACAGTGGTGTCATCCTGACAGGGTATCAAAGAGATACCGACCCTGCGGTCACATATACAAATAAAACAATACTACTCTCTTCTTAAGATTCTCGTGCCATCTTAAGAACAGGATATCTATCTAGTTATTGTAACAATAGAGAGGTTGCGGCTGACGTTTTTATCGCGAAAACGTGTATGTCGGACGTTCAGTGCCGCCTTCCTGTAAGCCTAGAAGTTTGACAATGGTGTTTGGAATGTCGAGCATGATTCCACTGACTATCCAAACACCATTGTCAAACTTCTAGGCATACAGGAAAGCGGCACTGAACGTCTGATGTACACGTTTTCATGATGAAAACATCGGCCGCAACCTCTCTAATAAGTTATTCTGTCTGTCATTGGGAAGGGTTGCCAATTTTCTATCTGAAAACTCGTAATTTCCAAATTATGGCACCAAAAGTAAACCTACAGTATTTCCAAAAATAAATCTATTAACTTGCTTACAGAAAGATCTGGCGTAAGTAGCATTCTGTTAAACTCAATTATAATAATATAATACATATCCAAATTTCAAGTATATTCATATAAATTTTTTAGTATAATATATAAAATGAATAAGCAATACACAACTATTGTTAAATTACATTTGAACTATAATATGACCTATTAATAAACAATGTAATCTGGCAACAGTTATTTGATTTATAAATTATTCTGATTGTTTAAATGTATTTATTAGCAATCCATATTATAAATTATAAAAATGATTTCTGATTTTTATTATAGTATTTCATTAAATTAAATTAATTTAAATCAATATGTTTAAGTGTTTTTTCTCCAGAATATATAAAAAGCAAATGTACTGTACAAAAATAACTTTTTGTAGTCAAAACCAAAAAATGGCATTATTATTTGTATCATCAGATATAAATAATGATTATCGATCTATATAAAAGATGCTGTTAACATTGCTCAAATATTGAAAATTAAAAAAAATCATTATCATCAGATCATACTGTTTTAGGAAAAATTCTGAAATGGTAGCTGTATTGCTTACATTCACAACTGCTTAGGAAATATTATAATCTTTTTATGCTTTTATTCTAGTTTCCAATTTATTGTATTAAGCAGGAGAAAATATGTTAAAGTGTCATTTTCCTGATAGTAATCAGGAGGAACTTTTTTCCTATATCCTGAAGAACATATCCTATAAATTTTATGATCTGTTCAATGAACCCCATTCCTGATAGTGACAAGTATGTGATATGATATGTTTAAAAGTGTTAGAAGGCCGAACCTTACGGCATAGCCTTTGAAAAGGAAGGATGAAGAGTTTTAGAGGAAATGAGAAGAGGGAAGAAAAGTAAGGAATGATAGGAAAGTGTGAAGTGGGAACCATGGCGACATCGCGTTCCATTTATTGAGTATACTTTAGTTACAACACATGGGACATAGTCCACAGATAACAGTATGGTCAAAATATATACAGAAAATAAGCCCGCACATGGTACTGCCTCTAGGGAGACAGGGAACGCGAGCAATTGACAGCTATGCACGTGGGCAACCGACACAAGCTGCTGAAAATACCAACCCGGAATGTGCTGGAGTACAAAAGCACAAAGTTACACACGAAAGAAAAAAAAAAAAAATAAATAAATAAATAAAATATAAATAAATAAATAAATAAATAATAATAATAATAAACACGAAAAGTCCCCTGACAGCCAACTCGGCCAGGTTACAATGGGGAGCAACAATGCAAAGAACCCCAGATGGCCAACTCGGCCATAATACAGGGGTATACAACACAACACAAGAGTCCCCTGATGGCCAACATGGCCAGGACCCAGTGGGAGTGGTAACAAGACTGGAATCCCCAAATAGCCAGTTCGGCCAGGTTACAATGGGTGTTCCGAGTGATGCTGACAGCTAGGACGCCCAGAAAATCCTAGAACGAAGGTACCGTGACCCCGGTGCCCATGATGAAATTCTTTAAAGCGTTTAATGTCTGCTTACTCATGAAAAAGTCTTTTGGAGCACAGGGCCAATGGAGGCTACACCTGTACAAAGTCTCGGTGAGGGTCTTTCTTAGTGTCTTAAACTTGGGGCACCTGAAGATTATGTGGTGGGGATCTTCGTCTTCCCCCGAACCACAGTCACATATTCCGTCTCCTTTGTGGAAAAATCTTCTTAAGTAGACACGGAAGTTCCCATGCCCCGTAAGGATTTGGGATAGGTGGAAATCGGGGGTGAAGTAGTCCATCCTTTGTCTACTTGCAATGTCAGGCAGGAAATCATGGGTAGTTCTTCCTGTAGATTCGCTGTTCCATCTGGCTTGCCAGTCCGAAATAGTAAGTTTTTTAAGTTTCTCATGAAGCCAACAGCTGGGAAGCTCTCCAAACACTGGTTCCGTTGATGATCGTGCCGCCTTCTTTGCAAGAAGGATAGTGACAAGTAGAA